TAGGGATTCCATTTCCTCCACATCCTCACCACTCCTTGTCATTATCTGCCTTTTTGATGTGGCCAGCCTAGTGGGTATGAAATGGTATCTCGTGATTTTGATGTGCATTTCCCTGGGCCAATGAGCCATCGTTTGGTACTTATTGGTCATTTTTCTATCTCCTTTGGATAAATGTCTATGCAGATCCTCTGCTCCCTTTAAAGTTCAGTTATTTATCTCTTTGTTATGAGTTATAAGTGTTCTTTGTGTGTTCTAAGTACAAGTGCCTTATCAAAGGTACGATTGGCAATAATGTTTCCCATTCTGTGATTGTCTTTTCAAATTCTTGATGTTATTGTTTGTAGCACAAAAGTTTTTTAATTGTGATGAAGTCTGATTTTTTTTTCTTTTGTTGTGAAAAAAAAAGTTAATGGGCTTTTGGCAGGAAAGCATTGAATCTGTAGATCAATTTGGGGAATATTACCCTCTTAATAAAATTAAGTCTTTCAATCTGTGAACATGCGATTATTTCTATCATTCCAATATTTTCCCATGTGTATGTCAGCTTCCCTGCCCCACACACCCGGTCAGATATAACCCTGATCTATAGCACATTATGGTAGTCAAAGGTATAGCCTCTGTTTTCTCATCAGTCAAGTGCAAATAATAATACATATCTCATAGGACGTAAGGATTAATGATAAATATGCAGAACACTTGGCCTAGGGCACAGTAAATGCTCAGTTAATTTTGTCTTAGTCTCTTTGGGCTGCTATAATAAAATACCACAGACGAGGTGGCTTACAAACAATGGAAATTTATTCCTCACAACTCTGGAGGCTGGAAGTCCAAGATCAGGGAGCCAGCATGGTCTGTTCTGGTGAAGGCCCTCTCCCAGACTGCAGGCTGCAGGCTTTCCCCTGTAGCCTCAGGTGCTGAAAGGGCGCAGGGAGCTGTCTCAGGCCTCTTCATTAAGGACATTGAGCTCATTCAACAGGGTTCCGCCCATGTGACCTTAAGTACCTCCCAGAGACTTCACCTCCAAATCGCATCACCTTGGGCACTGGGATTTCAACCTAGGAGTTTTGGGGGATGTAAACATTCAGACCGTAACACTATTTTTATTATATGGCACTTAATGTTTAGTTGCTCAAAACTGTTATTTTGATTTAAAAAAAAAATTTTTTTTTTAGAATGCTAACTTTCCCTAAGTATGCGCCCCCCATCTCTTTGGAATGCTTTGACTTCATGTTTTGTTTCCCTCACATTTTCTCTGCCTTCCTCAAGGATTGTCAAAAGCATGATTCTGCCACCCCACACTCCCCAAATCCTCCCAGAGATGCACTCTGACAAAAAGTATGGGTGCTGCTTGGAAAGGTCCAAAAGAAATGGCTGGTCAGCTAATCAGAACTATTACTCTCCCTTCCCATGTGACGTAGGTACATCCTCACAGTGACACTCAGAATTTAATAACTCTTATCTCTTACCGTCTAACGTCCACACTGAGAGAGTTTCTTTTAAAATGTAAGTTAAATCATTCCACATTTCAATTCTAACTCTTCTGTAAAATCCCATCCCTCAGAATTTAAAAAAAAGCATTGGGACTCAAAAAATATCAGTGGCTCTGTAAGAATGATTAAGACCTGCTTTTTCGCCACAGGTTTGCCACCAGAACACAGGTGTCGTGAAAACCACCAGTAACTCAAACCCAAGATGGGAAAGGAAAAGACATCAACATTGTCATCACTGGGCACGTGGATTCCGGCAAGCCCACCCCTACTGGCCATCTGATCTACAAATGTGGGGGCATCAACAAGAGAACCATCGAGAAATTTGAGAAGGAGGCTGCTGAGATGGGGAAGGGCTCCTTCAAGTATGCCTGGGTCTTGGATAAACTGAAAGCTGAAAGTGAGCATGGTATCACCTTGACATCTCCCTGTGGAAATTCGAGACCAGCAAGTATTATGTGACCATCACTGATGCCCCAGGACACAGGGACTTCATCAAAAACATGATTACAGGCACATCTCAGGCTGCCTGTGCTGTCCTGATGGCTGCTGCTGGTGTTGGTGGATTTGAAGCAGGCATCTCCAAGAATGGACAGACCCGTGAGCACGCCCTTCTGGCCTACACACTGGGTGTGAAACAGCTGATTGTGGGTGTTAACAAAATGGATTCCACTGAGCCACCCTCCAGCCAGAAAAGATACGAGGAAATTGTTAAAGAAGTCAGCACCTACATTAAGAAAACTGGCTACAACCCTGACACAGTAGCCTTTGTGCCAATTTCTGGTTGGAATGGTGACAACATGCTGGAGCCAAGTGCTAATATGCTTTGGTTCCAGGGATGGAAGGTCACCCATAAAGATGGCAATGCCAGTGAAACCACGCTGCTTGGTGGCACCCTGCCACCAACTCATCCAACTGACAAGCCCCTGCGTCTGCCCCTCCAGGCTGTCTACAAAGTTGGTGGTGTTGGTCCTGTCCCTGTGGGCCAAGTGGAGACTGGTGTTCTCAAGCCCGGCATGTAGTCACCTTTGCTCCAGTCAATGTGACAACTGAAGGGAAGCCTGTTGAAATGCACCATGAAGCTTTGAGTGAAGCTCTTCCTGGGGACCATGTGGGCTTCAACGTCAAGACCGTGTCTGTTAAATATGTACACCGTGGCCACGTGGCTGGTGACAGCGAAAATGGCCACCAATGGAAGCAGCTGGCTTCCAGCTCAGGTGATCATCCTGAACCACCCAGGCCAGAGCAGTGCTGGAGATGCACCTGTGCTGGATGGTCACCCAGCTCACATCGCTTGCAAATTTCCTGAGCTGAAGGAGAAGATTGATCGTCGTTCTGGGAAAATGCTGGAAGATGGCCCCAAGTTTTTGAAATCTGGTGATGCTGCCATTGTTGATATGATTCCTGGCAAGCCGATGTGTGTTGAGAGCTTCTCTGCCCTTGTCTGGGCCGTTTCGCTGTTTGTGACATGAGACAGACAGTTGCTGTGGGTGTCATCAAAGCAGTGGACGAGAAGGCAGCTGGAGCTGGCAAAGCCACCGTCTGCCCAGAAAGCTCAGAAGGCTAACACCTGCCACCCCAGTCTTACTCAGTGGTGGAAGAACGGTCTCAGAACTGTGTGTCTCAATTGGCCATTTAAGTTTAATAGTAAAAGACTGGTTAATGATTACAATGCATCGTCAAACCTTCAGAAGGAAAGGAGAATGTTTTGTGGACCATTTGGTTCTTTTGTGTGTGTGGCAGTTTTTAAGTTATTAGTTTTTAAAATCAGTACTTTTTAATGGAAACAACTTGACCAAAAATCTGTCACAGAATTTTGAGACCCATTAAAACAAAGTTTAATTATAAAATAAATATTGGTGTAACATTAAATAGGTTAGGACAGGTAAGCAAAGAGTAACTTTGTATTTGTAAGCTAGTTTCTAAAGGCCAAATTCTGTAAAGGCCACATGTTAACATAAAATTTTGTAGTTACATCAATATGGAGTAAATTTGTTGGTATGTCAAATTTTAGTTTTCCAGTTTTACTGGAACGTGAATTTACATTTACAAATGCTGAGGTAGTTTAAGAACCTTAAGTGAGGTTTGAATAGTATTGAGCACTGTCTTACAGTTATTGTATCCAAATTCTAGGAAAAATACATTGATGCTGGAAGTTGAAAAAAAAAAAAGAATTATAAGACCTGTAAGACCTTATGTGCTCTGGCGTTTGGCTACTCTTTGACCTCATCTCTGATCACCACGCTTTGTTATATATAGCCTTTCCTCCAATCTGCCAGGCACATTTCCTCCCCAGGGTCTTTGCATTTGTTGTGTTGTGGGTTTTTTTCTGCCTACAAATCTCTTCCCATAGATATCTGTTAGGGTTGCCAAAGGAGGAATGCATGAGGCCAAAAGGGGTATAGAATTATGAATTTATTAGGTCATTGGAAAACCAGATGGCTGAGCCACAAAATGGCACCAGCACCCAGCGACAGGGAATTAGAGATTTTAAAGGACTCTAGGCAGGTTTTTTCTGGGCGGAGAATTCTCTGGGCTGATCCAGAGAGGGAGAGACTATGGTCTTAGCAAGTGGAATGTGGTCTTAGCAAGTGGAATGTGGTCTAAGAGAAAGGGAATGTTGGTTGTGAAGTGATCTAAAGATCAGTTCCCAGGGGAAGGGATATTGATTCAATTATTTGATCTAACAATATCCACTTAGGTTTTTTTTTGTTTGTTTGTTTTTAGTTCCTTCATGGTCTTTGCTTAAATATCACCTTATCAATGAGGCTGACCACCATATATAAAATAGCAAAATCCTTCCTCGTATCTTGCTTTATTTTTTTTTCCTAGCACTCATAACCACTTGACACATTGTACAGTATATTTACTTTCCTGTTTTGTTTTCTGTGATATCATGTGCCTATAACAATTCTGGGTGTATTTGGTACTCATTAAATATATGTTGATTGGATGGCCTTCATACTGTCTTTTCATATCAGTAAGTAACTTTAGTAGTGAGGAGAGAACAGCACTAGAGTGGTTTTGCTTTCACTCAGATGGAATCCTCTTGCCCTGGTTGATCAAGGAATGCATTCTATCATTAGTGCAAATACATGTAGATACAGTCATGTCTGTTGAAATTGGCAGAATTTCATAAAATGTTAGAGCTCTTTCTAAAGTGGGAAGACAGAGAATTAGAGATACAGGGAAGTTGAAAAGTATCTGATTTCCTGCCCCAAACTCCTCCCCTCCCCCCACAAAATATGCTTTCTGCTCATGATTAGTTTAATAATGTTATCCTTTTGTTATTTAAAAAAAAAAAGGATCTTATGCTGATCTGCCTTCTCCAAAGACACAGAAGTTCTGATAATGGACTTAGAAGATTCCGGCATTAGGAAGGTTGAGAACCACTGTCTTAGAAGATCATGCTTTTGACAGCCATGGTTAACTTCGCAGTTGGAGGGCACAGCAGCACGCCTGTAGATTGAACTACATTTCCCAGAATGCACCTCTAGGAGCATTCTGGGAAGTGTGGCAGAGGCAGCCACGGTCCCTCCGGGCTGGGGAAGCGCAACTTCCCGGGGAACACTTGGAATTTCCTGGTTTCTGCTGATTGTTGAGGCCTAGGACGGCACCCCCAGCACGGCTCGGAGTGAGTACAGCGGGACGACACTGCTCCGGTTCTAAGTGCAGGAGGCATAATCGGAATCGGAAAAAACCTCTGTTACAGCCTTTTGCCATTTTAGCTTAGCCCGTCTCCTTCTTACAGAAACCAGGAATGACCACAGCTTTGCATCATGACCTGTAGCACTACCGTATTAACTACACGTACTAATTTTTTGGAGAGTCACTTAAAAATGGAATTTGCTAACTTCTCTGATGGTGCCTGGATTATTTTTGAATTAAGGGAGGAAACATTAGTTTTCAGGAAGTAAATTAGGGTTCAGAAAAGAAAGCTGGTCTGAGAGACCTCGAAACCTGTATCCCAGCGGCTCCTTGGTTCTGCTTCTGTCCCAGCCCAGCCCGGCCCGTCCGCTGTCATGAGGAGACAGACTCTGCCAAGGCTCCTCTCAAACACCGCGGAGCCCGGCCTCTGGGCAAATGAACCAGCGGGTCACAGGGGGCTTTGTCATGCTGCAGTGCTCTACAAATGCATCTTTCCAATGTGAAGATGAACAGGATGAGAAATGTGTGAATCTTTCATTACAGGGGGATTTGCCTCCTCATTTAATAGTTTTCAGTAAAAACAATATTACCTTTTATCTCTAACAGTATTTGTATTTAAAAACATAAATAATATGGGGGGGGGGGCGAAGGGGACATAGGTAATACTTTCAACAATAAAGATTAAAGAAAAAGAAAAAAAAGATGAGCTTTAGAGCCAGATAGCCCCTGGGTTTGACTGCTGCTCCCTAGATTGTGATCTCAGATTGGCCAACTTCTCAAAGCTTTGTCTTCCTGTAAAATGAGATTAATGCATTCATTCATTCATTCTTCATTGGTGTATAGTGTATTTACACTGTGCTAGCTGCTGTAGAGAATGGAAGACACAACCCCAACCTTGCATTTCACAGTCTATAACAGACCTGAGAATATGCAAAAGCTGACATAGTTGTAATTCACCTGAGATCCATGGTCTCTCCTTCCCCTGTGAGAAGTAAGACCAAAACCAAGCTGACAAGTTAGGTGAGAGCCCTAGGTCACAAAGTCGGCCAGTGGGAGAGCCAGGAATAAAAGGACTCCAGTGCTCATTTCTCCATTCCTTCCTGGCTTTGGAGACACGCATTTGTACTGTGAAAACAGAAAGCAGTCCTACTCATAAGCTTGCCATGTAAAGTAATGGTGCTGCCAAAAGTACAAGGAGTGGCAAGTGTAGGTTTACAGTTGTTTGTATGGGAAATAACACAATAATTAATAAATAAAACACAAGAACAAGCCACTCTGTTTCACGGACTCACTACTGTAAACCTCCGTCTGCCTCACCCTGTATTTTGTGAATAGTGAACGTTTATCCTCAGTGTGCTGTCAGGCATTAAACTATGACGGTAGTTGCCAATTCAAACAGTAACAGTCACTCTGTTTGTGATGTGGCATTTGAGCAGATGGATGGATGTTTACTAAATCTGAGCCCCTGGGCCAATACACTGAATTATGCATCACACTGAAGATCCCCTCCCCCCCCAAAAAAAAGATAGTGGGAAATCACAAATATTTCAGAAAAAGAAAATAGCAAATTGTTCCTGCACTAGATTTCTGAATAGTATAGGACGAAATTATATTTTCATCCTAAAACAATCTCACATAGCCTCCTGATGGCTAAAATAACCTTTGTTTGTTTATACTGAGGTTCTGTCTGAATGACTACTTCAAAGAAAAAGACAATACATATAGCAGTTGGTTCCTGTAGTGCACTTTGGTGATCAAATTATGGAATACACTGCAGATGTACTATAATATTTTTAAAAATTAGAATGGTCAAATGCAGAGTAAAATCACAATTAATGAATGAGCACAGAATATCAGACATTTTACAAAAGGAGAACAAGGACTATGAAATCTGAAAACACTTTCAAGGTCTATAGCAGTGGTTCTCAACCTTCCTGATGCCGCGACCCTTTAATACATGTTGTAGTGACCCCCAATTTCATTGTTACAAATTGAACATAATTAAAGCATAGTGATTAATCACAAAAACAGTATGTAATTATATATGTGTTTTCCGATGGTCTTAGGCGACCCCTGTGAAAGGGTCGTTCGACGCCCAAAGGGGTTGCGACCCACAGGTTGAGAACCGCTGGTCTATAGTGATCAAAGAAATAGAAATGTGTTTTTTTTTAACCGAATGCTATTGAATATTGTTAATGTGTAGAAAGACCATTAGTTTTAAATTAAATCTACTTGGGGTACTTATGTTAAAGAAAGAACTTGGAAATATCAGCACAGAGGTATTTAGGTGGTATTTCTGGTCATTTAAAATCAGAGCCACCTGAATGTCTAAAATCGGGGGAATGTTTAGCAAAATCAGTGCGAGTATGCTTGAAAGTAATATTATGTAGCCAAAAAAATTATGAAACTTTTATAAAAACATAGAAAACTGCTTATGTTTCATGAAAGCAAGTTGAAAAAAAAGTGTACTCTGACTATAAAGATGTAAAAATTATATGTGTACAAAAGACTAGAAAATACATATTAAATTATAAGTTACATTTATGTGGTGATATTATGGGTACTCTCACAATTCTGTTTTGCAGATGTCCTGTAAGTAGTGATATTAATTTTGTAATTTAAATGATCTATTTAAAAGAGAAAAATACAGTTAAAACTGAATTTTAAGAAAATCATTTTTGCTTCTTTGACTTTTAAATAGTCTCTATACTGCTTTTATGTAAGATGTCTATGAAAATTACAAGGAAAAATAAAGTTAAAAAATACATAAGGGCCCATTTAGAAAAGGAATTAGACTTAATCTTTATCTACTAGGCTTATGACTGTACCAATGAAGGTACAGTTCTCTATTAAAAGAAGTCTGTTTTTCCTCTTGATTACTGACATTTTCTTCAAAGCTACATTAAGAACTTTACCATGTTTTCTACAAGCTTTGCAGCCCCCATCCCTTGCGTCAGCAGGTCACCCCATGAGTCAGCAGGTCACGATACTTCACAAGGGGCAGTATTTAGTAGCAGGAAGTAGGCAAAACATCAGGCAGTCAAGTGCAGTGGGCCACACAGATTAGCTGGTAGTCATAACTACAACCAAAAAGCTCTTATAGTTTTCAGGATTCAAAGAATTTATCAAAGGAATTCCTTTTGGCTCCGGGAGGGTGCGTGAGTTGGGGAATGTGATGAGGTACTTACTAGAAAGAGTGGCTTGGAAATAGCCTCATTGTGCAGTTAGTCCCGGGAATTATTCTTTATTATACTTTATTGGATTGTAAAGGAGTATGTACGCTGGTTAAAATTTTTGTAGTACAGGAATGTATAGAGTAAAAATTACAGGTACCCTTTTCAATCTCTATCTTCATTCCACTCTACCAAATTAGTCACTGATAACCATTTGATATGTGTACTTCTAGTCACTTTTAAAATATAAATAAAGGTTGGCTGGCGTGGCTCAGCAGTTGAGTGTCGACCTATGAACCAGAAGGTCAGGGCACATGCCCAGGTTGCCGGTTCGATCCCCAGTGTGGGCTTGCAGGGGACAGCCAAACAGTGACTCTCTCTCTCATCATTGATGTTTCTATCTCCCTCTTCCTTCCTCTCAGAAATCAACAAAAATATATTTAAAGACTGGTATGTATATGTATATGCCTTTTCTTTATAAATTAATTAGATGAGGCTAAAACAACTAAAAACTACTTGCTTTTCTTAATATATTCTGAATATATTCCCCTCTTACTACATATATAGCCTTCCACTGTTATTTTAACAGCTGTGTATTATTCCTTACTGTCATAATTTTCAGTGAACATTCTTATACATAGCCTTTCCTTCTTAGGATAAATTCCTGGAAGTGGAGTTTCTAGGTGAAAGGAATGTTTATTACATTCTCAGAGCTGTATATGAGGCAGAAATACTGACTTTAAATACATTTCTTCCAGTAATAACACAAGTCTGATCATTTTAATACTTTCCTAGGGCGCTTTGTAACCCACATATCACATACTGCCTTCTGTGAAGTTACTTGTTTTCTCTCTCCTGCTAGAGCCCCTTGAGGGCAGGACTTTATCCTGTACATTTTTTTTGTATTTCTTAACGGCCCTTGCATAAAGTCAGGACTCAGTGAATACTTTGTTGAATGTCATTTGCTAAATATAATTTACCCTTGTCCAGGACAAAGTTAGCCAAAACTGTCCAAGGATTAGTCATCAGCATTTCGTAATTATGCAACCAAGAAGTAGCCCTAAACTTTAGGTGGTCTTCAGTAGTTCAGTGTCAAAGTTTGTTTCCCTTGGGCAAAGTTAAAAGTGTGGTTGGTTATTTGACTTGTACTAATTTTTTCATTTCAGTGGAACTTCTTGCCTTTTTTATTGTGATATGAAATGTACTTCTCATGGAAATAAAGTGCTTACTGACATACAATTTAAAAGGAACCACCTTCTACAGAATTTATTCTTTTCCCCTCCCATTGCATATTCTTAAGATAGAGCATTTTTTCCTCTCACAATGAGATACAAAAAAATAGAAAATATCTTAGATCCATGTATTGCTGCCTTTTAAAAAATATATACATATTTTTATTGATTTCAGAGAGGAAGGGAAAGGGAGATAGAAATGTCAATGATGAAAGGGAAATCACTGGTCGGCTGCCTCCTGCATACTTCCTACTAGGGATCGAACCCATAACCTGGGCATGTGCTCTTGACGGGAATCAAACCTGGGGCCCTTCAGTCTGCAGGCTGATGCTCGCTCTCTCCACTGAGCAAAACCAGCTAGGGCTTTTGCTGCCTTTTGAAATACTTCCCTCATGGCCATGATTTTATATTTTTATTATTTATAGGATTCATCCTGTTTCATATTCTGAGAAATGTGGCTCCATTACTCTAGAGACCCTCCCAGGCTTCCTTGGTCTATCAGAGTTCTGCTAGCTGCTGTAACAAACTTTGAAATGTCAGTGGCTTAATATGGTAGAAGTTAATTTCTCACTCACAAATTGTCCAAGGCTAGGGGGCGGGGGGAGGTTTGGTTGACAGGTGGCTTTTCCCATGGAATGATTCAAGGATGTAATGGTGTGCCATTCTAGAATCTTCCAAACAGATGGGGAAAAAGAGAATGGAAAAGGCATCCCCACTTCTTAACAGCTTCAGCCACTCACATTCCATTGGTTTTGGCTCTGCTTACATGCAAGGGAGGAGAGAAATTAGGCCTCGGCTCCCCAGCTACCGCCCAGCAACAGTTCCCCAATCTGGAAGGACAGCACCCATTTCTCGTGGATAGCTAGCTGATTCTCATAACAACAGAGGAGGTAGGCAGAACAGGTTTTAATTTTGTAAATTAGGAAAAAGGTATTGAAAAGTTAAAATCCCATAGCTAGTTAGTGGTAGAAATGCAATTTACAAACCAGATCATCTGACTCCTATTCAGTTTCTCTTTCCTTAATATTTAAAAAGTAATATTATTCTGGCTTAAAGTATAACCCTTTTGGTGATTCATTATTTTAAATTGCGTACTATGATCTCTTTTTTTTTTTTAACTCCTCTTTCCTCTAAGGACCTGACAATGTCTCTGTATTGTGGAATTGCTTGCAGGAGAAAATCTTTTTGGTGCTATCGGCTGCTGTCAACCTATGTCGCTAAGACCCGGTGAGTTAACCAACCTAAGCTCTGATTACTCAATCTTTGGCCCATTAAATTATAAAATTCTTAAAATCCTATATTGAGGATTATGGTTATATGATTAAGATGTACATATAAGGATGTTCACTGAGAATTATTTATACTTGGAAAAATTCTAAATAAATTTCCAATAATATCTAAAATACCTGACTTCCTTAAATATAAGTTCTAGTAAGATAGGAACTTTGTCTTTTCCACTATGGTACCCCTACTGCACAAAACAGAACCTGGCACATAGTAGGCACTGAAGCCTTGCTGAATGGCTGAATGAACAGGGAGAAGTTAATTAAATCATGGTACACCCAGATGACGGCATTAAAATCTATACTGAATAATAGTTGATGACGTTTACTGAAAATAAGGTAAATAACTCCAATCCTGGTACCCACCGCCACCAAAGAACTAAACTTCAGTGGAAGGTAGACTAGAAAAAAGAAATCTACACCAGTACAGGAAAATGATAAATGACTTATTTGTCTCAGCCTGGGCAAATTTGATATCTATGAATTTGAAATCACTAGCCTGCTCTCATACAGTTTTGGGATTTAAATTTGCACCATTGATATGGTATGGTCCAAAGACCCCCTACCGAAGAAATGGATATAAGTAGTATCCTAGACTGATACCTCTGGGGCACTTGGCAGGAGCAAATGCAACCCTCCCATGGAGGGAACACTCACAACCACTGCTTCCCGCAGGAAGCTCTGCCAGTGGGAGTGCCCATCCAAAACGAAAGGCACACAAGCATAGTATCTTACAGGAGCAAGGTGAGGACGCAACAAAATTGCAATACTGGTTTCAGTATTGTTGGGCATTTAGTTTATTTGCAGTTCTCAAAAAATGATAGAATTACTGAATAGTCTAAAAAATGAGTATGTTAATGTGATTAAATATATTAAAAATAAAAAATCATGAGAAAAGAATACAATTCTATTAATAAGGAATACAGTGTAAAAATGATAATATGTTTAAGAAAAAAGGCTACAAATTAGTAGGTCTGACTAAATAGACCTAAATATGTATAGATGCATAATATTAATAAATAGTTTGGAGAATTTCAAGCTGTGAATAGTATTTGAGTGGTGGGGTTCTTAATGATTTCCTTTTTTGAAAAAATTGATGATTGTATTTCCTGATTTTTATAGAATGGCTATTTTTTACTTTTATAATAAGAAAAAAACAGGTTAAGTTTTATCTTAGTTTTATGGTTTCCATGCTATTATAACCAAATGGGGAAAATTAATTTTAAAAAATAGTGTTTCTCATTAAGAAAGGTGTAAGAAACTTTTGGACCTCAGTTCCAGTTCCAGGGAGGCCCCAGGTTTAAGGCCTTAACCTCAGTGTTTTTCTTTTCAGGGTCATTGGGGCAAAGCACAGGTTGTACCACTTGTTCTGTTCTTTTTTGAAGGCAGCTGTGTTTGTTCTATTGTTTCTGTTTGGGAACTTCTGAGTGGCACATGTCTCTCCTTTGACATACATCGAGTCTTTGCCCTGGGAGGCTGCAGCCACTCACATTAAGTTTAAAAATATCACAAGTATTAAAATCTCAGGTTTCCTCTGCTTCTGTCTATAAAGAGATCATTGTAAGCCCTTTCATCACGCAGTCAAAAACGATTTCTAAAGATGTTGCTTGGGGTGTGTCTATCATTTTGCTTTGTGGTTTTTCATGTTGAGTCAACTCTGCCCACTGGGGTTACACAAGCTCGCAGATCCTACAGAAAATATCTGTAAACCTGGTTTCCTGGTTAAGTGACAAATATGCCATATACCCAAGAATCTGTTTTAGGGCTTTCAACAGGCAAGTATGGCTATCCCTAAGGCCCAGAAAGAGAATCCACATTCAGTCCCCCTCCCCTCCCAGAACCCCACATCATAGGAACACTGATTTTATTCTCAAGGCTCTTATTAAAAGGTTAGACCAGTGGTCGGCAAACTCATTAGTCAACAAAGCCAAATATCAACAGTACAACGATTGAAATTTCTTTTGAGAGCCAAATTTTTTAAACTTAAACTATATAGGTAGGTACATTGTTATTGACTTAATTAGGGTACTCCTAAGGCTTAAGAGCCACACTCAAGGGGCCAAAGAGCCGCATGTGGCTCGAATAAGGCCACCCTTAATGAGGGTACCGGAAAAGCCTAGAACTTGCCACTATATGATTTCTTTTACAATAGAAGCTAATTATAGAATACTAGTGGCCCGGAGCATGAATTCATGCACAATGAAAGGAAATGAATTAGAATATTTTAATATCGCTATTCGCCCTTTCTCTATAATAGAAATGTCAACCAAATTCATGATTGACAATGACAGATGGAAACACACGCGTGGTTGGCGCGAGAGCTTTATATGTATCATGCATGAGCTAGAGAACTCAGCCTATATATAGATAGGCTAAGATAGATATAGAACAAACTTGCTTAATTAGACCTGCTTTCTGATTTAGTTAAACTTTTTCCAGCCCAGTGAAGCATCCTAACTTCTCTTTCAGGTAATTGTCAGCAACACAGCAGTAAATATCAACACGAAGCAGATTATTATTGTAAATCACGCAGGGAGAACAAAGGGTAAAATATTTAACTGCAGCAGAGTTTGACTATATTCTGTGCAGTGAGAAAACCTGAAGTCATTTTCAGGGTCCACCATTTCTTACTTCTTTTCAGTCGGGTCAAGTTTCTAAACTTTCTAAATCTCCATTTTCTGGCTAATGAAAAGAAAATAGGATTCCACCGAGTCTCCTATCTACCTGCTCCAGGACTTCTGTGAGGATCAAATGAGATGAGGCATGGGAAAACGCTTCACAGACATTTGGCCACTGTGTAAAGTGTTTGCACCTGGCTATAAACCAAGTTGTGGACACCTGGCTATAAAGCAAGTGTGGTCCTCGGCCGAAGAAACTGCAAGGAGGCTCGTGGTGGCTAGGGAGAGGAAGCTGGGCATTGCTATGTGACATCATTACCCGGATGGAGGGAAGGACACTTACATATTAGCCTTTTATATATAGAGAGAGAGATTCTCTGTTCTGCATTTTTATTTTGGCTACTGAAAATATTACCCTCACTAAATAAGACAAGTAATGGCTTCACTTGGTGCCGTCAGTAAAGATAAGAAGCAAATGGTGTCCACCTGGGAGCTAGATGTTTGAAACAAGGGTGCATGTGCATTGTAGATAAAATTGACATTTTATCTTCCCTAGATCCAAGGCGAGTTACTGAAGGTATAGTGTTTTTACTCTTTGTCTGCAGTAATGAAGTCTGCTTGCATCTCTAGGTATTCTGTGGTTGATGTTTTATCACTGTACTTGTTTTCCTCTCAATCCACTGCATGTAAATTCTTGCTTCACAGTGTAATATGGGCAAAGTGCCTTGAGGTTCAATTCAGTAAATATTTATTACCCTTGAAGTTCAATTCAATAAGTATTTATGGACTTGAGCCATCATTACTGGAGATACAGAGTAAGGCAGACCCTGCCCATTAAGAGGTCATAGTCTTTTGGGGGAGACAGTACGAATGAACAGACAGTACAACGTAAGTGCAACCACAGAAGTGCTGGCAAGGTATGCAGTAGGACAAAGGAGGGACTGATGGCCTGCAGCCACCTCGAATCCTTCCCAGAGCAATTTAGTGTGTAAATAAATAAGAGGAAATACACGTGGTAGGAGGGATGCAGGAACAGGCGAATGCTGTCCCGTAACTAAAGGTGGTTTTGTAATGCTTTATTTCCCAAAATACAGGTATTTATTTGAACTGAAGGAAGACGATGATGCGTGTAGAAAAGCCCAGCAGATGGGAGCATTTTACCTCTTTCATAACCTGGCTCCTTTGCTTCAGCAATCAGAACATCAGTACCTGCCCCCCCAGCACAGCCTATTAGGTAAGCCCAGAGTGAACCAGTAAAGTAGACCAACCTGTGGCCACTGAGCAGAATTCCGTCCATATTGATCCCTGAGAAGGATCCTCCAAGTTTAGAGTCCAGATTGTCTCAAAGTCCTCTGCCAATTAAATACTTCGTGTATACACCTGTGTTGCCCAGGAAACTGTTATTTAGTGATGGTATGAACCACTACTGCCTTAAACCAGGGGTAGGCTAACTGTCTGTCCACACTGGGACTCCTTACATTTGTAAATACATTTTCATTGGACCACAGCCACGCTCATTCATTTATGCTAGTAGATTGTCTGTGGCCGCTTTCACATTATAATGGCAGAGCAGAGGAGGTGACAGAGCGTAAAAGCCTAAAAGGTCTTGCCAGCCCCTGCCTTGGGCTGGTGATTTCCAGCCTCCATGGAGTTGCACAGTGTCTTACTGGCCAGGATTTGCATTGTGACTTCATTTCTCCTAGAAGGGTCAAAATTAATAGTGAATTAATTAATTAACTAGAGATATTTAAACTATTGGGATTTGGCTTTCAAGATACTACCTTTCCCTTTTCTATGATGTCACTATACACTGACTAACTTCTAAATACATTGCCAGTGAATTTCCTTCATGGGTCAGATGCTGGAGACCTGGATAGGTAGCTTCCAGCACTGCAGAAGAATATGAGGATGCCTCGGAGGCACTACACATGCACGATGTAGCAACGTTCTGCTGTATTATGAATAAATAAATATGAGTCGTTCATGCACAGGATAGGTTTTCTCCTTATGCAGCACTTACGTTACACATACTGGGATCTCAGATGACTATTCTACTTTGGCCCACAAAAACAGCATAACCTGGAGATTAAAGTATAGAACTGATTTGGTCTCTACCATATTAAATGTGACACATTTTTTTCCATGCCATAATAAGTTAACCATCACGAATCTTTTGAAGTAGGGGATATGCTCTTTCATGATACAATCATAGAGTAATACAGGGCTACACAGAGAGAATTCTCTTTATAGTCTAAATTCCTCAGATTGCTGATGAGAAAATGGAGGCTTAGAGAGGTTAAATGATTAGACCAAGTTTACATAGCTAATGAGCTGCAGGGCAGCGACTGGAAGCCAGGTGTACCTACTTCAAGCTGGAGTGTTTCCTCTCCGGTAAGTTTAAGATGGCTCTGCTGGTTTAATTAAAACTCTTGGTTTTTTTCCCTTCTTTTGTTTCTTAGAGTTGGAAAAGCTCCTGGCTAAGTTTGGACAGGATGCACAAAGAATAGAAGATTCTGTGCTGATTGGATGCTCCGAACAGCATGAAGCATGGTTTGCTCTGGATCTAGGTCTAAATAGCTCCTCTTCTGTAAATGGTACACGTTTTTCCTAATGGGTATTTATTTCCCTGTGGTTCTCAGACTTTGTGATTTTACTAGATAGTAAAATAAAATAAAAAAAATTTGGAATACAGAAATATTATCAACTTTGTATTTTAAGTTAGAACATAAAAAGACACCACCATCGCCCAGCTGGCGTGGCTCATGGTTGAGTGGCGACCTATGAACCAGGAGGTCATGGTTCGATTCCCGGTCAGGGCACATGTTTCAGTTGCGGCTGGATCCCCAGTACAGAAGCTAGCCGATCAATGATTCTTTCTCATTGACGTTTCTCTCTCTCTCCCTTGCCCCTCCTCTCTGGAAAAGAAACAAAAACCCACTACCATCTACTATCATTTAAAAGAAAATAAAGGGCCGGAACCGGTTTGGCTCAGTGGATGGAGCGTTGGCCTGCGGACGGGAAGGTCCCAGGTTCGATTCCGGTCAGGGGCATGTGCCTGGGTTGCGGGCACATCCCCAGTGGGAGATGTGCGGGAGGCAGCTGATCGATGTTTCTGACTCTCTATCTCTCTCCCTTTCTCTCTGTAGAAGAATCAATGGAATATATTTAAAAAAAAAAAAGAAAAGAAAATAAAGGAATTTTAATACTTTCTAAGGTAGATGGTGAATACAAAGATGTTCATTGTATTATTCTTTGTCCCTTTATACATTTAATGTCATACATATTTCATAAGAAACAATTTTAAATTTATGACATCATTTTTGTATCTCTTTATCACTGCACTTTATTAAACATGTTACCTTCAAGTCGCTCTGGGTCTTCAGACCTGCATCTGGGAACCAGTTTGCTATAGGCTCATGGCTCCTATCAGGCCTTTCTTCTCTCTTGAGGGTGTGGATGCGAATGTAATGATGCTGAGTGAGGTTCAGAGAGTTTAGAGGTCCCCTGTCATCTTTTCTCCAGGGAGAGTGTGTGGCTAGTACAACTGTTCTTATTGCCTGAAGACAATCTTGTGAAATAGCACTATGCTGTTTCCCAAATTTGCCTGAATATGAGAACCACCTGGTACTTGTTAAAAAATAAAGATTTCTGCCTCACTCACCTGCTGTTCAGAATCTCCACATGGGGGCTTGAAAGCCTGTATATAAAGGGTATCCCCCCAAAATATATACACAATAACAGCTAATTTCTATCACATTTTGAAAATGAAATGTATTCTAATAAACACTGCCTTTATAATTATTCAAAGTGTGTATACATTTTGGGGGGACACACTTTGAATAATTATAAAGGCAGTGTTTATTAGAATACATTTCATTTTCAAAATGTGAACTACCAGCTGTTAAAGTGTGTATACTTTTTTGGGGACACCTTATATATTGATTTTAGAGGAACATCGATTTGTTGTCCCACTTATTTATGCATTCATTGGTTGATTCTTGTATGTGCCCTGACCAGGGATTGAACCCAAAACCCTGGTGTATCAGGGATGACGCTCTGACCAAGTGAGCTACCCGGCCAGGGCTGAGAATCTGTATATTTTTTATTTTTCCTAGTTGAGTCTTATTAGGCGAGTTTGGGAAACACTGTTCTAACAGATATACCTGAGGAAGGGCCCCGAGGCAGTTTTGACATTTGTTTCATTTCATTCTCTTTTCTAACTTCCTAGCTTCCTTACAGAAACCTGAAATGGAGGCGGAGCTCCAGGGGTCTTTCATTGAGCTGCGGAAGGCTCTCTTTCGGCTGAACGTGAAGGATGCCTCCTTGCTGTCCACGGTAGGTGCCGATTCCTCAGTTCATAGTAAACAGTGAAGCAGTGCGTAAGGGCAAATGCATGCACAAGCGAGAGCTACGCTCGATTTCTTCCTTGGCAGATCCTAGCTCTTCCTACAAACCGTGGCAGAAGGACATTGTGCTGTGGGGAGAGTGCCTGTTCCTTTCTTTCGCCCTGTTTTTGGCAGGATTGCCATCAGGAACACTCTCCCCTCAGGACATGCCGATCTGTGGTATCGATCAACCTCCTAAACATGTTCAGTGACCCACAGCACGTCACATGCATTTTGTTTTTCCTATGAGAAATTATTTTTTATTGCTTTGACTCATCCTCACAGCTTTACATTTCACTTGCTAAAGTGCTTTTGATTATCCATTTAATTTAGAGATATCTCTAAACATTTTTTATTTGCAAGAACACCCCAACTTTATTGAGGAGGAGTACATGTTGGAATGTTTCATATTGGAAATGTTTTATTTTTAAACTGGGTCATAGGTACATGGAGTGTTTCATACTTTATATATTACATTTTTAAAAATAATTCATCATATACTTGAACTATACTTCTTTTATTCATGTTTCAGATGATGGAGGGATATGCTCAATGGTTTCCTTACTTTAACGTTTAGACAGTTAATAAACGATTTAGAATAGAGGAACTGAAAAGGCACTGGCATTTCCCTCCGGGTTGCCCAGCACTGTCCTAGATGAGCCCCACTCTCTCTAAACGAAACCAAGCCCACCTTCGCATTCCTAGGCGCAGGCTCTCCTCCGCTGGCATGATGCCCATCAGTTCTGCAGCAGAAGTGGGCAGCCCACCAAGAAGAATGTAGCTGGCAGCAAGCGTGTGTGCCCTTCCAGTAAGACCATCTATTACCCGCAGGTGAGTGCTGCTGCCGGACAGGAGTCCAAGAGGCTGTGGGCTCTGTCCTGGGGATGGAGCCTGTACGATACAAGGCTTTCCTTAGTGATTCATCCCTTCATCCTCCTTCCAGGCGCCATAGCCCGACTGTCTAAGTTGCCATCCCCTTTTCCTAGATGGCTCCCGTGGTGATCACTCTGGTGTCAGACGGGACTCGATGCCTGCTTGCCCGCCAGAGTTCCTTTCCCAAGGGAATGTATTCTGCCCTGGCGGGTTTCTGTGACATAGGTAAGAGTTTAGAGACACGACAGCATATCGACAGTAGTTATTTCTCTGTGTTGCTGTCATAGTGCTTGGAGCCTCAAGCACCTTCTTCCCTGTCGTGTCAAGAAAACGGCCCCTGGCATTATAATTTTCCAATATTTTACAGGCAAACTTTCAAACATGCAGCATAGTTGAAAGAACTATACAGTGAAAACCCATACACTCACCACCTAGATTCTATAATCTCTTATATTTACTTTATCACATATCTGTCCATCCATCCCTCTATCCATCAGTCCTCCTTATTTTTTGATGCACAGATTGCAGACATTAGTACACTTCTCCCTGAATATTTCAACATGCATAATATTAACTACAATTAGTTTTCTCAGTGTATTGGGGTAAAATTTGCAAATCGTGCTATGTCACATTAGAATTTTATGAAAACTGACAGCAGCAGTAACCACTCCCATTGCCCCTCTATTTTGTGTTATAACTACCCTGGTAGGTTTAAGTATTGCAGTTCAACACCCAACTCTAGACTTGATTCCTATTGTTGGAGAGACTCAGAGATTTCAGACTCTCCCAAGAGTATTTTCATTGAAGCTTTGGGGCCAGTCTTGCGCTCGTTCACAAATGGGCATCTGTATCACCCCTCCTGCTGCAGGGCTGTCCTGAATTAATCTGAGTGCTTGTAGGTGAAACTCTGGAAGAGGCTGTCCAGCGAGAAGTTGCAGAAGAGGTGGGATTGGAGTTGGACAGACTGCAGTATTCTGCATCCCAGCACTGGCCTTTTCCCAATAGCTCACTCATGATTGCCTGTCACGCAATTGTGAAACCAGGGCAGACGGAGGTAAGTGCTGCCTCCCGAATGCTCTGACATTTCCTTTGCCTCCCCTAAGCTTGTCAGTAGGTACTTAAACAACGTCTAGTTTAACACTGTCTAGATTGTACAAAGATGCGTAAGAAATGATTTATATCCTTAGGGAATTTTCAATCTCGTAAAGAAACGAATCACCACGAAAGCTGGGAGTGCCAACATGGTCACCGTCCTTCCTGGTACATCTCTCAGTCATGAGACAACTCACCTTTCATCATCAGGACTTAACAGAGCATCTCGCATAGTTTAGGCACATCACATATCAAATTTAATTATTGATTTCAAGATTGATCTTATTGCTCAAGTCAATCAGGATGTTGAGCACTGATAATTATTATCATCATTACATAATAATAATGATTATAGGGACTTCTGGTTGAAAGGCACTTATCCAACCTCATCTTCTACAGCATCCCTTACAGGTGGCATTGTGGTCCCTATCTCCCAAGTCCGTCTATTGTGTTTTGGTTTCTATGGAATGAATACTATCTGCCTCAGCTTCCTGTGGATTCAGTTTGTTCTACTTTGCTCCTTGCGAAGATACAATGATCTTGATTATCATTAAAGAAGAGAAACATTTGTATGTTTATACAAGCAATTGAGGCACAAAGCAAAATAAGTATTATTCATAATTTACCCCTCTCTGCTAACCACTCTTAATATTTTAGTATTTGTACTTCTGGGTTTTTACTATTAAAAATATATTTAACTCTCATCTCTTATGTATGCCTCTTTTGCTGCTGGGCAATATCTGGAATTGACTTGTCCCCAGCCTAGGGATCCCAGGTAATACCTTCTAAGATAGCTCAGTTCTGGAACTGTTTTCTCACCTTTGGCCATAGAAGTCTAACTTCTGTAGCTCCCAGTCTTACATTCTGTTTTTCCTTATGTCTTTCAGATCCAGGTGAACTTGAGAGAACTAGAAGCAGCTGCCTGGTTCAGTCATGATGAGGTGGTCGCAGCCCTGAAGAGAAACCGCCCATACGCTCAGCAGCAGGATGGGACTGTCCCGTTCTGGCTGCCCCCTAAGTTAGCCATCGCCCACCAGCTGATTAAGGAGTGGGTGGAAAAACCGACCTGCCCCTCCCTGCCTGCTTAGCTCAGATCACCTCGGTCCCTCCTCAGTATCCCGGGGGGAGGGAGGGCACATCAAAGATCTGCTGAAAAGGAGAAGGTGACAAAAGGCCATCCCCAACCAAATTCATATTAAGGCAGAGAAGGTGAGCCTACAGCAAGACAGCTCTACCAGCAGAGTTAATGAAAGAAGTTCCTACTCCTAGGCAACCCGAAACGCCAGCGTGAGAAGAAAAGCGAATGAGACGGCAATTGTCAAAATCAGAGGGAAGGTGAAGAAGCTCTACGTTAGATGTGGGCCCTTGTTTACCCATTCTCCCCGAGGCCTTGGGAGTAAACATCTTTTGGCATGTGGCTTGTTAATGCTGGGTCGATATCTAACTGCCAAAATGTGCCTGGTGTAATTTCGGTTAAAACTTTTCTCTGAGTATTGAAAATATGTAGCAAATCTCAACCCACTGAATTACTTTTTGTCCTCATAGAATGAAGACAAATAGCACAACCTAACATTTTTGAAATCATGTACAGGTAATTATTTTGTTCATGGTAGTTAAATAGAAGTCCTGTTTCTTTAAGTCACCTGAAGGGATGCAGAAGGTGGGAGCTAAGGTCTCCCCAGGGTCCTCTGTAATAAATCGGGTGCAATGAGGTTGTTGACATAACTGCATCCCAGTGGGCAGCAAGACTTCCTTTTTTGCTGTTACTTGCTCAGTTTGTACCGTAAGGAAGTGATTATCACTTTGCCATTCGTTTCCCTAAGTGTAAAATGGTTGCTGCTATTTGCATATCCAGTAAGTGTTGTAAACACTTAAACTAAGGGATTAGTGAGGATGAACCATTTCTTGAGTTTTACGGGACAAACTAAATTTAGGAATTCTCATCATTCATATATGCCATTTTATACCTTGTCATAGGGGAGAAGAATTTATCTGGAGGAAATAAAATAAATTTATAAACCTCTGTTTAGATGTATTTTTCTGTCTTATGAAGAGAGGAAATTGCAGAAAGTGAGAATCTGGAGGGGGTGGGAGAAAAGGAATCTCTGTATTAGTGTGACAGGTGTTTAAGTCCAGGTTCCAAGCTGTGGAAACTGAAGCAGTGTGCAGAAGAAACGCTGTCGGAGGCCAGTTTAAAAAGAATGGATGTCTGGGGAAAGAGCTGTATCCTCAGATGATTTCAGGTACTACCTTGTGATTAAATACATGAGTGTCAGAAAACCTAAGATGATGCATACATCAAAGTTCCACAGGACTAAGAAAAAGAGCTTCTAGAACTAGAAAAGTTAAGCACTGAATTTCCTATTGAAACCAAAAGGTTACTGCTGTCACTGTTGCCAGCAAACCATCATTGCTTTGGAAATCAAAGTACCTTCGTCGGGAAATGGCGAGGGATAGTATGAGATGGGACTTGCTTGTCCTGCTAGATTGGCAGCTTGCGCTGACCTGAGCTGAACCCAGCATGTAGACGGGAAAAGCACTCTCAAAAGAGAGGTCCCGAGATTTCCCCATATCTTGCAGTCAGAAGAAAACAGTTCAGGGTCCATGTGTATTACCGTCTCCCAATCTTTTCTATCTCTATGTGGGTGTGTTTGTGAGCACATGTGTACACATCCCTGGTCTGAAAATACAGGATAGGAAGGGGAGGGTGTGTGTTTCTCAAATGTACCATGGAGTAACTGTTTGCTTTTGGATTAATATGTTGTTTTGGAAAAGAAAAGATGAGAGTGGCTAACAGGAGGAGCTGCACCATTGAACTTTGTTTACCAGCAATGAGTGGGAAGAGAGCTTTGCTTTTCAGAACTCCAAGGATATCTGAAAGTTGAGGCAAAAGAGGACAAGGTTAGGATACTGCAATTGACATAAATAGAAAGAACTTTGGTACAGGGCTTACCTGGCTGGAGAATATTTATGTGGCAAATAATGATGAAGGTGCTAAAGATAAAAAGAACCCACTGGGTCTATGAAATAGAATAGTAAAAACAAGTTAAACATTAAAATCAGTGTATTTGTCACCAGAGTGAGCCTGGCTCAAGGTCATTCCTGGTAACTGGGATAAAAAAGCAACTCATTCATTCCTTATTTTTTACTATCTTCCTTTCTCTACCCAACATTTAGTCCTCAATAAAAATAAATAATGTTCTAAACATGGACTATGTGAATGTCATCTCTTCTTCTGACTTCAAAACCTGTGCGGCCTCCTGAAGATCACAAAGACCCTGGCAGAGAGGGCAACATTTGATAAGTCAACCTGTGAAACTTGTAATGAAGAAATATTTTTTTTAAATATATATATTTTTTGATTTTATAGAGAGGGAGGGAGAGGGATAGTCAGATCGATGAGAGAGAAACATCGATCAGCTGCCTCCTGCATGCCCTCTACTGGGGATGTGCCTGCAACCAAGGTACATGCTCTTGACCGGAAACCAGGGACTCTTCAGTTCAGGGGCTGACTCTCTATCCACTGAGCCAAAGTGTTTAGGGCTGAAGAAATATTTTTTACTAAATGAGTAAACTAGAAAGGAGCACACTCCGGTTCAGTATTTATTTAAAAGAGAAACGACAGGCTCGATGGGCTGGTTAGTCTTCCGCTGGCTTACGGGTGGGTCTGGGGTCAGTGTTGTCCGGCAGCTGCACCCCCATGCTCTGTAAGAGGTTGGAAGCTGGTCCGGCCAGTCCCGCCTGGGAACTGTACGATTCCAATATATTTGAAACCAGGTTTAGGTCTACATCCACCGGCGTCATACCAGAGTCTCCTGCACCAGAATCTTCCTCATCTGAATTGCTATTGGTAGTCTGGGCTAGAGATTCCTTATTCATGGAGGGAAAGAAAATCATGGGATAATGTCAATAGGCTGTGGTAGTTACAATGCAAAGCTAACCAACAATGGAAAATTGAATTCCAAATTACTCTTCTTGATAGAAAGTAAAAACGAAGTCTAATAAACTATGTAATTTAACACATATATTAAAATTTGGTTCCAAAGACTATAATACACTTCTTTGTAGTAAAAGTTTCTACAAATTGAATGACTTTCTTCCCTATTCTGAAATAGCCTAAGGGAGATAACCAGGGTTAAAGATGTACATTTATACGGTGCCTAACAGTTTTAAAAAAATAAACATAAAAAACATTTTAAAAAAGAATGTAAATTTTTTCCTAAGTAAAAGAAACTAAATTTTCTTTTCTTTTTCCCAATGAAAAAGCAAAGTAAAAACCTGACGCTTCTTGGGGTTGAACCACAAAGACTCTGACTTGTTACTCGAGCCTCTGATTTCACAGGTTGGGGAAAGGACCTGAAAGATGCAGCTTGATCTACTCAAAGTGGTCCATGGACCAGTAGCATGTGCATCGCTTCAGAGCTTGTTAGAAAACGTAAAACTGAGGCCATACCTCAGACATACTTAACCAGAATCCATATTTTAATATGGTTAGGTGACTCATATTCACACTACCACTTAAGAAACACTGCTTTAGATAAATCTAATGAATATATGGTTTCTATTAGGTTCTGGCAATATTAAAAGTGGTTATAATTTGCCCTGACCAGTTTGGCTCAGTGGCTAGAGCATCGGCCTGTGGACTGAAGAGTCCCAGGTTCAATTCCGGTCAAGGGCATGCATCTTGGTTGCGGGCACATCCTCAGTAGGGGGTGTGCAGGAGGCAGCTGATGGATGTTTCTCTCTCATGAATGTTTCTAACTCTCTATCCCTCTCCCTCTCTGTAAAAAAATCAATAAAATATATATTAAAAAAAAGTGGTTATAATTTTAAATGTGGCTTAGATAATCAAAACAAGGGAATAACATTAATTAAGGTCCATTATGTGTTTTACTGTTGTCTCATTTGGTTCTATGACATGAGGATTATTTATTAATGGACAGTCATAGAGATGGATTTCAAACACTCATCCATGAGACACCTCTTTGTCTAGTATTATAGTGCTGGTATAATCAGTAGGATTAAAACACGAATGGGAGATGAATTCTACATTTGGCTCTAAATTAGGGAAACTTACAAATCAAATACTTTTAAGATTTCAAAAATATTTGGGTATTTAGAGACATTTCTTCTTTTTAAAAAAATCAATGTAAGCTCTTAGTATCACATACTAATTTCATCACATCACATGACATTATTTTAAATCCTGATAGATAACAAAGTAATATAATTAAGCTTATTTTAGGAAAATAAAGTTAATAATCCCTCATCCAACCAGAGTTAGGAAAAATTAGTATTCTTATTTATTTCAAATTTAAAAAATCAAATTTATCACACAAACAATGATCACAAACAAAAAACCCCACTAAGATAAAATATGTTTTTAGCTATCCTTTGTAATAGACTCAGAAAGGAAAAGAAGTTAAACTCCCACACATACCATTTGCTTCTGGGTGGCGAAACTTTTGCCAATGCTGGTTTGTGCCAGTTCCCGATCCATCTGGGCCATGTATGACTTGAGATCTTCAAGTGTTCCTTTCACAGATGTTTCTTCCCCAGGTCCCTGTGTTTCAAAATCCAAGTCATCATCACTTTCTAAAGATTCAAAGTCTTCCTCATCCTGGTCATCAGAGTCCGATTCAGGAGGCCGTGGTCCTACATCCCAACACAGAAAATGCCACTTGGTAAAAAATTTTGGGTGATTATACCTCCCAAAAGACTTAGAATATTATTTGCAGAAAAGAACCAATATACACAGGCAAACTCCTTCACAAAAATCACTTCCAGAAAATGGTACCGGTGGCAGATATTTGCAGAAAAGCACACAAGCTGAAATGAAAGATTCAACTCTTTTTTTAAAAGTGAATTAATTCACTTAAAAATTTAAAAACTATGATATGCATGAATAGATTTTTAAAAATATATATTTTTATTCATTTCAGAGAGGAAAGGAGAGAGAGAGAAAGAAACATCAATGAGAGAGACTCATTGATTGGCTGCTTCTTGCATGCCCTCTACTGGGGATCAAGCCTGCAATCCAGGCATATGCCCTTGACCAGGAATTGAAGTGTGACCTCTTGGTTCACAGGTCAACGCTTACTCAACCAATGAACTACACCAGCTGGGCTGCATAAATACATTTTGATGTGAACGTTCATGTCATACAGAACTACTGTCTCGGCAGGCTAGGGGCATGCAGACGGGATGCTCAGAATTACTGCCTCACATTTCACTCTCTTCTTTGAGTTAGGCATCCTTTAACAGTTTGGTGGCTATCCAGACCTTTATGCAGCTCTGTCCTCATTACCAAGCATTTCATAATAGGGTATACAGCTGACCCTTGCCTTTTGACTTCCCAAAAACATTACTAACAGCCTACTGTGGACCGGAAGCCTTATTGATGACACACACAGTTGATTAACATATATTTGTATGTTATATGTATTATATACTGTATTCTTATGATAAAGAGGCTGGAGAAAAGAAAGTGTTAAGAAAATCATGAGGCAGAGAAAAATACATTTACAGTTTTTACGTGTAAGTGGACCCATATGGTTTAGTCCCATGTTGTTCAAGGGTCAGCTGTACTATAATTTATTTAACCATTTCCCTTGTGATAGACATTTAGGATATTCCAATTTTTCTGCTACTACAATGCTGCAGTCATCTTAGCACATATATCTTTTTTATAGAGTAAATTCCCGGAATCGAAATTGTTAAGGCAGCCCTAATCGGTTTGGCTCAGTGGATAGAGCATTGGCCTGCGGACTCAAGGGTCCCAGGTTCGATTCCGGCCAAGGGCATGTACTTTGGTTGCAGGCACATCCCCAGTAGGGAGTGTGCAGGAGGCAGCTGATCGATGTTTCTCTCTCATCAATGTTTCTAACTCTCTATCCCTTTCCCTTCCTCTCTGTAAAAAATCAATAAAATATATTTAAAAAAGAAAAAGAAATTGCTAAGGCAAAGGTTATAAACATTCTAGAGTACCAAACTGCCCTGAGGAAAGATGACTTACACTTTGCCCCCCTCCCCTGCTTTGAACAGTGCTCATTTCTCTAACCCCTGAGAAAACTGGTTATCATCATTCTTTTAAATTTTTGCCAATATGGTGGGCAAAAAAGGAATCTCTTATTTTTACTGTGTATTTACTTGCATACTAGAAACAGTTAACTATTTTCAAATATTTATTAACTATATTTCTTCTTCAAGGCTATGCCTTTTCATATCCATTGTTGATTTCTCTTATTGGGCTATTTGGCTATTATTAGTGTGTAAATGCAGTAAGTATAAAAGAGAAAAAATAATGTAATAT